GGGTAGTATTGGGTCATAGTCACGGCAATTCGGTGATGTTTTCGGCACCAAATCGCATATTTCCCGATAAAATATGGCAGATGGAAGTAAATAACGTCTACAAAGGTGATATTTCACAGTAATAAAGAAGTATTTGGTTCATAACTAGGTCGTATTGGGTAGTATTGGGTGGTATTGGGTAGTATTGGGTAGTATTGGGTGGTATTGGGTAGTATTGGGTAATTAGACGCGCCGTTTTCGAGACCTGGTAATGTCATGATTATGATTACCTAATCCTATGAAAAAAGTTTTTTGTGTCAATTTTCTAAATATTAAACCAACAAAGAAAATGTGTTTTACATTATGTATAATTCCTATGTATAAAATGGTCTTGTAACTTAAATGATATCAAATTCACTGATTCTTTCCTATCGAAAATAACAACTGGTTTATAGTATCCATCTGTCTTTCGATACAGATTAAGACAATGCTATTTCAATACCGATACTAATTATAAATGAAATTGACCTTCAGAAGATGAACGTAACACACACACTAAGGCGATCGCACCTTTAAAATTTGGTAATAGATACGGTATGTCAAAAATAAATTACACTACAACATACAGCAGTTTCAATCTTCTGGGACTCATCGGTGATGCTAGGGGCTAAAACGTTTGAAATTACAAGATTGAAATATGCAAACGAGTCTCCTCGCTCCTCAAAATAACATTATGTACTGTATTTTGCATGTTCGAGTATTGATTATCATTGACGCGATATGCACAAGCATCTAAGCAGCTACAACAGCGTATGCACTATGCAGTCAGTTTGCACTGTTCTATATGGAAATCGGAAGTGCAGAGAAGGGTTGTACATCGATTTATAAATGTATACGCTTGCTACGACGAAGTAAAGACATTGAAACCGGGTATTGTAGAGGTCTTCTGGCTAAAAGAAATTGAAATAAACAAAAGAGAAATGGGAACTCTTGTAAAGATAACCAATAAGGCTACATATAACGTTGTCGTAGAAGAAAACTAACTCGGAAACAGCGGCTAGTTGTTTGTTGCTTCATGTACATGCTGTCGATTTTCGATGTGACGTTTCTATTTTTTGAAATCAAAATCAATGGTTGAAATAAAAAAAAAGTATATTTCATTTATTTCATTCTTTTTATCACTATATATGACACACAAAAACGTCGAATAAAACATTTATACCAATAAATTGAAACACAGGGCACAACAACCAACACAAGTATACTCAACAAAATCCTAATTCTAACTCAAACCGATTAAACTAGGGTAAGATTATGAACAAAGAACATTTTAACATGGAGACCCTTAAAACAGTACAAGGAAAATATTAAAACTGGTGTTATGGAAGGGTGAATGGCTTCTGCTTCATTGATGGCATCCACCATGTAAATCGTAATCGAATCCACTTAATGCCACGTTCTCATATGGGGAAGTAAAAATACCAGCAACCTTTGAAATAACAAAGCAAAACAAAACCCCTGAACCCATGAATATGGTGGAAGGGAGACCAGGAGTACGGGAAGTGCAAACGTTTTATATACCACTTTTGGCACCCGTTTACGCTGTCCAGTAAAATATCACCAATTATTTAAGATACGTGGTTTATTCATTTAATCACTGTACACAGCAAAATACTTCAGCTGAAATTCAGGTCATAATGACAGCTGTACGAACCTGGCAATAGAAAACTTTAGATAGATAGTTTATAGTTGAATATCAATCTAGAAAGCCCCGATACTTCGTTCTATAGTAGCGAATCGACGATGTAAGTTTGTTTAGGCCGATTTCGATCTCCAACTGATTGGTTCCGAGAATTACCGATGAGTCCTTACATGATGAAACAGCTGCATTCGTTTTTGGAATGTATTATCTCTTACTGTACGTAATTTTGGTATTGATAATGTAGTAGGATGCTGATTAGAATTAATTTCTCATTACTTACTTAATTATCAATTTTAAACCATTTATGGATATATCTAGCATATTTAATACAGAAAACAAATTTAGCTTTTGTTATTTTGTATTGATTTAAATGAGCTCGAACACAGGTTTTTTTTTGCATCTTTGCTTTCCTTAATTACCATGTTTCTTAATATACAGATATATATATCTATATTATAACAGCAGTAAATTGATCCTACCGGACGAAATAATAATATGAATTTATTTTAACGACACGTCTTTAGCGCTTTCACCTCATCAAGAATCTCTTTGATGAGATGAAAGCACTAAAGACGTGTTGTTAAGATTGATTTTTTTATATATATTTTTTTTTTAAGCGAAACATGTTTTTATGGGCATGAAATTCCGATACCTTTATCGATCTCGAAGTTATTTGTGGTCCACATGTGCTTTGTTGTCGGAGTATTTGAATTGAACATAACGAGCGCGACCCGTGGATCGTCACCCAATGTGTTTCCATGATGCCAAATATCTTGACATCAATTATTTTGAATGTAAGTGATTATCTATTTTATGTCATAAAAAATGACCATGGTCAGTGACATATAGATTAAATAATCACACAGATAATTGTCAATTTGAAAATCTGTATATTGTAAAGGTGTTCCTTAGCATTACATGTCTTTGTACCGTAATGCAAAACAGATAAAAGGTATTTCGATCGCGCTAATGAGGTACATGCCTATTCACAGTAACATTAAAAGAAGCCTAGCTGTATCTTGAAATGTAATGTTCCAGGCATTGTGCTTTGCACGATCACAAAGCCTAACATTTTGTGAATGTAAAAATAATCGATGAAACATAGAAGAAAAAATCGAAACGCTGAATCGATTCAAAAGTACAACCATGGAATGAACATCAAAAGAAAACGAAAGACATAATACACAATAGAGATAACCCTCCAAATCGATTAAGCCGCAGGTATCATCATTGATCAATACTTTCCAATTGCATTATCCGCTATATTTGCTGTATAGAATGTAACTTTTGTGTATGTGTATGTTTTTATACACACAGTACGTTGCAACTAAGATTATCCGTTTACTATCATGAAGTCTAATTTCAAGGCCGATAAGTAATCAATACAATGCAAAACACGTAAAGCAAACATGAATCATTGCTTTAAACTTATAAATAAAAAACATCACATCTACAACGTCTTTCTACTAGATTTTAACAGAATTAAATATGGCTCGAATCGAACGGTGTGTCCGCGCACAATGACTTCCATGTAAAAATATCACACTGCTTTCTCTTGCAAAATAACATGTTTTGGTAAAATGCTAAATATTTGCCTAATGTATATCGTATATTTTCTGGATATTAAGGTATTTGTTTCCAAATTTCAAAAATATAATGAAACGAACTATCTAGCTTTAGATGAAGCTCGAATGAAATTTATAAAGTTTGTTTTGTATTTTAATATCAAACCATAAACATCGTGGGTNTTGGGGGGGGGGGGGGGGGGGGTACATGTTTGAGATCATATTGAATTGTGAGCATTATTTACTGAATGAACTAGAACAAGGACTGTAGATTGTAAATTGGGTGAATCTAGGCCTCACAACCCTGGCATCCGCGGATAATGGGACCTGTGATAAACTATCCTTGCGAAATAAGCTAGCCCTCAATATTTTATGAATAAACAACAAAACAGGAAAAGTGACGTGTTCTAACGAATAATTTAATGTTTTATGAATTCATTTCAGCAAACGCATTATCAACATTCATGTATAACATAACAATATGCACAGTATAGAGCTGAATAATCGAACCCAGCAGGATACATATTGATAGTTTAGATAACTTGTCTTGTAGTATTAAAGCATGCTATATATTGTAGGACACGATCGAGGTTTGGATAATTTTGATTTTTCTGATATTCAGTGCTTTGATAATCGGCATTCCACTGTTTTTTCATGTTCACTAACAATTCTAAAAGAATGCATCATTGACAAAAACACTTACATTCTGTATTGGACATGAAAGAAAATAACTTTCATACATATGTACTAACACCAAGTTAGGAGAAAACTTATGTATTTTAAAAAGATAATGAAATAGACAAATATAATGATACATTGTGTTTATTTGTTTTCTTCTTTATTTTCTTTTTTTCAAATACTAAAATTTCGAACAACTACAATAACGTCAAATACATGGGAGCATGTGACTTTATTAAATGTTTCTTTGAAAAGGACTTTAACGAATATTCTATTCTAGTGACGTCAGTAATGATGTACTTTAACTTGTTAGTACCCTTTATCTTAAAAGTCAATACGAACGTAATAACCAATCTTAACCGAGGTGACCCCAGAACAATAGTAAATCCTCAACATTAACATCCTTGTTAGGGGGGTCGGGTGGTGCAGTGGATATCGCACTTGCCTTTCACCAAGGCGGCCGTGGTTCGATTCCCCTAACGGACGTGAAACACTAAGACCCCCCGCGCGCTAACATCCGGGCCAACAAGAGTGATTGATATAAGTTGACATAACTTGTTTCATAATTGTTGTAAAATAAATAAAGTTTATATTTTTTATAACATATCACAGCTTTGTAAGGAATATCACAGATTTTAATTAAACCACGTACAGTTTAATTCACAAAAACATTATAATGGGTCCTATCCACATTTTTTACAATACAATAGCACGTGAAATACTTCGGTTTGGATACTTTAAATACTATTCTCAGACAAAAATCAAACAATATATTTCATCATATGAAAGCAATATAGCATAACAGATAACGCAACAATAAGTTAAACCTGAATATGGTATAGTTCAAATTATGGTATAGTTTAAATTATACAATAACATTCGAATCTTTATCAAATAATAATGTTTTTAAATGTTGTAATTGTTTTCTATACCGTAATTATTTTATCAGATAGAAACCAAGTGAGCTTTAACCTGAATCCCCATTTGAATAGTTATAAATAATATAGAGGCTATTGTCTATAAAAAGAATCTAAATGAATATTATTTATACACGACTTAATCAATTACATGTAGTTACAAGCACATATAAAGAATGATCATATGAATATTCATATATCATGAAAAAACTGTGCTTTCCGAATGAACACTACATATCTTTCGTTTATTGATATCAATGAATATATATTTCATGGTTCACCACTTTAATGATCTAACACCACGTTGAAACACTACTATCAAGATTATGCATTTGAACTCATTTCCTTTACACTTTCATATAAAGAGAGTTTTAAATATCAATTTACAAAGAGTTTACTTTTCAATTTTGCAAAATTAAAAACTTAATATTTCGCGAAATACCTGTTTTGCATTGGCTGATTGTGAAAACAAACAAATCGCTAATACTAAAATAAATAGCTAATGCATATCTTATTTTCCATTTCAACCCCTTACAAAAAAATATTAAAGCATAATGTTGAAACGAAAAAGTAAAAATTAACAAAAGTATATGTTGCGGCTTTAACCATGAAAGTGATATACATATAAATGATTCATGGTTCGTGTAAACTGAAGACATTAATCTGTTCACTCTATCTCAAGCACCAAACATACCGTATGATAACAACAATGCAAATAGACTGATGAAATGACAGAAATAGAGTATGACACAAACACAAAAAATCACGTTTTATGGAGGAATTGAGTGATTTCCTGCAGCCCAGTTCATTTGAAACGATTTATCAATTAAATATTCATGAAATGAAAAATAAGAGAAAATAATCGCTCAATGAGTTAAATAACAAAATATTGATTGGGTGAACTATTCTAAGACATGTAAAAGAAATGTAAAAAATTATTAATTGCATTCAATTTCATCAACAATCATCTCTGTCATGCATCACACTTGCTCAAAATTGTATACACCTGCTCTAATATCTAATCTACTTAAGAATAAATAGGGAGCCTAATTGATGTAAGAAATTATCATATATGCCATTGTTTTTATCGATAAATCTATATTGAAATCTATATTTGATGATATGTGCATTTGGTCAGGGACGATTATACTAAACCATGTTTTAAAGTTGAGTACTGCCTCAATATGCCTTTAAATACGTAGAGAATTAAAAAATTAAATCCCTTACACCATTTGAAAAAGCATTACAATAAAACATGTTAGGAATTGCTGTAATGTGAACTTCCAGATAAAAAATCTAGATTTTCGTGAAATAGCTTTCAGTTGTATCATCAAACAGAGACGAAAAATGCTAAAATGTAAACAGAAGTCATCCCAAAGTGGAACATCAGTATGTTAATATCGTGTATACGTATATACTTTCGTATAACTAAATTGTCGAAGAATTTTGCATTATGACGTAATGCTATTGTGTAATAGACATAATCTGAAAACTGCTCATGCTACCACCTCAATTAAGAGAGATCTTTAGACTCCCGAATGGGTGGTCTCTCAATACAAGTTTGACTGTTGTACATAATCATTATCAGTCCAGTGGCTTTCAATGCATATCTTAAATGTTATATTGAAGACAAGAATTTTACTAAAAATAAGTGTTAAGTTTGATGTAACAATATTCTTGGTGGATTGACGTTTTTGAACTATTGTACAGTGACATGCATATTAATGAGACTATTTGTGGGTAACGGTACCGTTGCCATTTCCTACAAATACAGCATCGAAACTATAGAGACTTAGAGCTGACTTCCGGCGTGGCAAACGGTCTCTCATGTAAATGTCTAAAGGATCATTGTATATTGGCTCCACTTTTGGCAGAGGCAGAATGAAGGGGAGAGCACTTGGGTCCCAAGAGGCATCAAACATTGGGAATATCTTCAGTGCCTTCTTTGGTCGGAAGAGAGATATGTTCATTCCATTCTGCTTGAAGTATACATCGCTTCTCATTGAGAACGCTTGTTTGGGATTTGTCTCACCGCGACTCACATCCATATCCGGGGTTTCAGGCCTCGGTTTCGGTTTTCGTTTTGGACATTTGATTTTCATGCAGATACAGCCGAACTTCCGGAAGAGAATTATTGCCAGGAGTATCAGGAGGGACAGAAGAAGCCAGAGTGGAAGTGCCAACAAGGCGTATAATGGAGTCAGATCCTGAACAACTGGTGCCTCAGTTGTAACTATAAATATGAAACGAGTGTATATCAGCACGCAATAGCCGCTAAAGTATATATAGAGGACAAAACATGTTGCAGTTTGTATCTCATTACAACACCTGTAACTTGCATTGGGAAACCTCATCTCGGCGTCACAACACAAGGACAAGACATATCACAGCATCAATACTCAAGGACAAAGTAAACATACAAGAGCATATTCTGAACTCAAAATCGTTAAGAAAAGATAACAACAGTAGCAAAATTAACGCAAAGAAATTGACCCCCTAACTTCCCCTTCCCTTCAAAAAATAGAAAGGTTTTACATTTATTAACGAATCTTCTTCAACTGATTCAATTTTGATATAATCACTAGAGGACAGTTAAATTTTCCTTTTGCATGATTTACTAACTTTAGACACAAAAGAAATATGTTAAACACATATTATCAATAGTTATGTTTCAAAACATATTATGTGATTAAATCGACTTACCATTCAAAACAGTCAAACAGGTTGCTGTAAAATATGAAAGGCAACAAATATTAATATCCATATCTGACAATTATAGCGTGTATCATAACATCAACACGAAGGTCAACAGGTTTAAAATGCCGCTTTTAAAAGTTGTAAATTCAGATAAAATAATTTATCATTTTAACTTTTAAGGTATTTGATTCCAAAGTAAATTTCGTTAATATTACTGTGCATATAAATGTAAAACGTTAGAATGTAGAAAATGTTAATAGGCAATTGAATATGCTACTATTTTTAAATAAACATTTGACAATCATTACTTACTCTATCAGGATAACTATTTCGCAGGATTGATTTTTACAGCGAAAATACATTTCAGCCAAAACAAGTATTAATACTCAATGCATCACAAATAAGCCATTTGATGAATAAGTAATCAATATTTTTCGCATTTGATGTGGGGGCGTTGGGCGTAAAAAGGAAGTTTGAGTTAAACCTGTTACTCTCCGAAACGTAAGGAGATAATTCTCGATAGTTTTTCTCCAACTTGGACAAACTGTACAAGAGACATATTGCTACAATGTTGTTGTTTTTTTTTAAGCTAAACCGGGTTTCTTCTCTATTTTACGTAAGATTTTTACGAATCTTTACACCACTACATGTTTGTTATATGTTTTCACTGTATGTTTCAATAGATTTTGCTCAATTATTCCATTTTGCATATCTAATGCATACAATTATTAAATACGTCATATTGAGAATTAATTATATCGTAAAAATCATTATTTCGAAATCGCAAAATTCATTATTTCAAAACAGTTATCAGATCACATTGACATTGACGAAAATCACATTGGGGCTTTTTAAGATGTACTATTGCAATTCATTTATATACCAAAATGAGCCTGAATGATTTGTAAAATAATGCATGAACTTCACGTATATCTTATAAGATCAAGAACATTAATTAATATCATCACAGAACTGTGACACATAAAGCGAAAATTGATTTTTCATCTTAAAAACAATTTTCCATTTTGAGCTAGATTTTTCCAAATCGAACCTCCTTTTTCATTTATTATTGATCAAGAAAAATCATTTGGTCATACTATTGCTTTTGTTTCTGTTTGTTTGTTTGTTTGATCCATCATCATTTTTGAAAGGAATTGTCTGGATTGAAGATCGTCCTCTGTTTGTGTGTGAATACTTTACCTGAAGTTGAGGTGAAAGTCATGGAGTTCCCTACAGTACCCGCTCTATTGGTACCAGGTGAGGTCTCAGTGGTGGTATTGGTACAGAAATTCGGTGTCTCTGTAGCATACACAACGTCTCCTATTTGCTGCAGAGCCTGTAAAATGACTTTTATTTCAGACGAGGTATCATGATTTTGTTCTATTTGACAAGATCACAAACATTTTCAATCAAGAACAACACTTAACTTAATGAATTTAAAAATCCGGAAACAACTCAACTACTGATCCGGCACGGCGGTTATTTGTATTTTGTCACGTGTGATTTAACGTTACATGAAATCAAATATGTATACAGCATTTTTGTTTGTTTTTAAACTACTATAAGTTAAAGCAGTACAGTGTTTAAAAATGTTATTAAAGGTTGTCTGACGATGTTGGGATTTTGGCTAAGATCACGTTTATTAAACACGAAATATGCATTCATATCAATGTACTTATATATTGCAGAAGTATGGTCAACGCGAAATTCCTGCTATTATTGTGTCTTTCAAAACAAAGAAATTAAGTAAAACACACATACATATATATACGTACTGAACAAAATATACTTACGAAACACACAAACTGATATGTTGTCGGTTCGGTAATTGCGGAATCTAAGTTCCATGCAGACAAGTAAATCGTATTTTCGACTTTCAAATAGTGTACGCACGTGAACTGGTCAGCAGCTGGAAAATAGTGGCGAGAATGATATACCACAAATAAAACAGCTATACACTAGATGGTGTACAAATACATAAACAACTATACCTTGTACAAATTCTTAATTCCTGTTAAGCTGAGGCTATCAAGCAGGATTAACGCCTTTTAAAATCTGTCATCGAATGACATTTAAGGATATACGTTTATGATACTATTAACAAATACCATTACAGCTATCATTTGTTAATGATTCTTCTCATTTAGATTATTTACTGATAAGCTCTATACGATTATTCAAAATTATCTCCCTTTCAATATTTTTTAATATATAACTCTTTTGTTTTCTGTTGCTGTTTCTTAAGGGATGTTACATGTAATGCAGAACTCTTTTGGCATGAATGATTCATGCGGAAACTTTTTGAATGGATGATTAATTAAGAACTACTTCGTAATGGAGATGTACATTTCAGTAATGTTGTATATGTTTAGCATGAATCATACCTGTATCTAATATTTAAAATATCACTTATTTTTATAAGTAGAGTGTTGAGAAATGAAATTGTCACAAATACTTTTTCAACATTGTTATTCTTTTGTTGATTCTAGACTTGACATCTTACATGAATATGGCGATAATGGGGCGACGCATGCGGGGTCCTTGAGGGTGAAGTTCATCTGCGTTCTATCCGAACAGACGTCAAGTGTGCTACTGGCGCATGATTGACTTGACCCGCCATGTGATATCGTCACATTCTCAAACACTGCCAGTATGGGGTCGGGACATACGATTACAGCCGTCTTATTTTCTATGGATCCTGCACACAGTAAATACAAGATAGGTCAAATAAAGATGTTTGGAAGAATACGAATTCAACAGAAACGTAATGAGTTTTGAAAGTATTAACCTATTATAGACATCATATTGTCGATAAAATTAATTTAAATAATGACTGTATCACACACATACACACACATGACTGCACCTTTTATTTGTGGTTATATAGTATAAAACAACAGCTGTCTTTTAGAATATAATGACTTTAAAGATAAATGTAAAACCATTACCGTCTCTTATAAGCATTATGTAAGTAGCCGTCTCGTAAGGCGTTGGTCTATTACAAGCCTGCGTTATCGTGGCTATCTCATCGATTCTGCCGAAGAGGTAGTCGTTCAGAAAATTGTCGAATTCTGAATGAAAAGAAGACAATATGGTAAGAAATAGAAACTTATCATTTAAATCGGATTTACTTAAAACAATTTTAAATACAACATTCACACTCTAAGTCGTGTTTGCATATACTGTAAAATCAGTGATTTACGGGTGGTTTTTAATTTCATTGAACACGTAGGTTATCTTCATCCACGAATTCATAGCTCCACTAAGTAAATACAAGTTTGATATAAAGCAATACTCCGTATACATATGTTTGGTGGAGGTTTTCGGGAAGCAACGAAAGTTGGGTCACGCAAACAAATCTGATTTCTCAGTATGTTAAATTGGTTAAAATATTATATTTGTAGTGACAACTTCTAGGAGGAAAAAATATGTTGATGCAGTTCATGTTTTATAACAAGCAGTGGCAAAATAATAATGATCTCCATACTAGGTCCATCTTTACCCCAACCCTGGTCGTTTTCATGCAAATTTATGTCAATAATTTGTATTTGTATTTTTCACCGATGATGTCAAGATTCTATGATATTTTACAGGCGAATATTGGATAACATGTTATGTTACTTCCCTAAATAGCCTTTGTTTAGATTAAATATCAGTTTGAAAATATGTTAAGTAAAGCTACACGTAATGACAGTATCTTACCATCCAGTTTCATTTACCCAACTAATACTAAGTCGGTTATCTAGCTATTGTACTACATGAAATGTTCGTGGTGTTTTCTTTCGTAGCTTGAAGCCATTTATGTCGTTTCGTGGTACACACTTTCGTTGATTCTATGACAAAGAGTAGTCAAGTAATAAAAAGTAGTCAAGTATATCAATCAACTTTGTTGTATTTATTTTCGTGGTTTCGTAACCTCCACGAAAACCACGAATGTTTATATACAACGAACATTTAAAGGTACACAGTACATGTATCCAGTCGCCAGTTGTTTTTTTATGGGGCTTGTTGGCCAGTTCCTGAATACAGTTATCCAGCCATCTCACAGTCCACCATTTTTGTTTGGAAGAAAAGTAGCCAAGTTATTGTTAATCCGCCTGATAATTTGACAATACAACTCGCTCCCGTTTATTAGCGTGGAATAAGTATGCGGTGACTGAGATTAATCATAGCTTAGGTACATGTATAAACACCTTCCGAAAATGCATTCAGTATAAAGTCGTCACGATAGCAATATTATAAATAATTGAAACCTAAGTTTATACGTAACATGAAACTGTAAACACTAAATGAGGAAATGGACTTTAAAATGGTCTGGATGGGTGCTGCAGTGTGTGTGCTGTACGAATATTGTATGTACATTTATGCAATGCATTAGGCATAGTCTAGCTAGATATGAGTCACTCTCAAATATCGTATTGTGATTATTACTTTTATGATACTGATTGCTGCACAATTTTGAGCACAGCTCGCTTGACCATGACAACTTACCAGTTCCAACGTAGTAATAGAAGACGTCATCATTCACTTTCGTCATCTCCAAACAGAGAAAAAACCGCGTGATTTTCCCAAATATGTTTATGAATTCTACACCTCTAGAATTAAAAAAGGAAAACAAATAGTTTAAGTTTGTTTGAACAGTACGATTTATCTATATACAAACAATATATGTTTATGTTTGATTTCATACATTGGAAGATAGATTGGTTTATTATTTCGTGTAAAAATGGCATGACCTGCACACTTGTCCAACCGTAATGTTAGAGTGATGTTAAGACCTTTAATTATATTAACCTTGTCTATTACTGTCGACAACAGAACACCAAAAGTGTCCCTTTCATTGACATGATTCTATATATCACCTGATTAAACGTGTAAAGTTCTATATATCTTTATTATCTGTGCCCAGTTGATGAAATGAATCTTACCTATCATTCATGAAAGATATTTTACAATGTAACTTTCTTACGGTGGAACTCTTTGAAATAGAAAATGCATGTTCCAAGTGAGGGAGCATGAATCCTTAACTTGTACCTAGTGTATAAGAAAAGTGACGTAACTTACTGTAGAAGATAGGTAGATCCGGATTGATCTATACAATTAAAATCCATTGTTGTTAGACCAGGAACCCCTACATTGAATCCAAATATGGAGGTTGCGTTAAATGTTATCTCGCCGCGGTCTGCACTATGCCAAAGCCCAGTCACATTTTCAGGAAACGTACAATCGGCGACTATTAAAAGAATATAAAAAGGAAAAATGGCACATATTTTCAATTTCATCGATATTATACTTGTATTTGACTTGAGTTCATTAAACGTTTACTCTCTTAAACATTTAATGAGTGAGCAATATCAAGATTCAGAAATGGCAGAATAATAAGTCATGTTTGTCAATCCTATGTTTATGCGTGAATTTAGTCAATTTGTTATTTACATAACAAGAAGTAAAATTCAACAAACCTGTATTACAATGTCAACAAAAAATAAACAAATTCTGAAATCAAAGTATACCAGAAAAGACAATTACAGGAACTGACGAAACGCCAAAATAAAAGGAAAGACATCAAGAATTTCCTCAAAACATCGGAGGCGAATGTATGTGTTCCTGAATTATTCGCGTTTCCGGCACCACGCGTGGCTCCCTTCATTATATCTCCCTCTTATTCCGAAAAAAACACCCATATAGGTCACCAATAATCTGAGACATAGTGACTAAATCTTTAAGCATAGCAGACACATAAATATCTTATTTAAATATCAGGTGATAATGAAGACAATAGAGTTTTTAGAGACATTACAGGTAGAAAACCTTAGCAACAAGCCAAATTCATACACAACATCCTGATTTTAAGAACAAGACATCAAAAAGAAATGAATCGAATGACAACATGTTATCTCTCTCAAAGCGTAGAACCTTTGAAAAAAGTTACATAAAAGGTATTATATATCCTCAAAGAAACATTAACTATCATGGAGCAGGTATTCGCCTACTTCATGTTAAATGATGTATGACGAACTGTGCCCCTGGTGAAGTTGACTTCAATGAATACATGCAACGTCTGTGATATAAGTATTTAGCAAGTTTTCTGACAGCTGAATGATTTATCGGCTTAACACTTGAGTCTAAAACTATTCTATTTCAGTGAATATAGAAATAACAATTTCGTGATATTTGATATCACATTATGAAACCTTTAGTATGGAATATATACTTTAGAATATTACTACTACAGTGTATGTTGAATTCGCCGAAGTCATTTAGACAATACAAAAGCTTCCAGTTAAAATCGTATGTAACATATATCTATATCACTTTAAATAAATTTAAATTAAAAGTCTTAAAATGAAAAGCTATTTTTAAAATGTGAATATTTTATAGTTTGTTTTTAGTTTTGTGTTTTTACTCCTCAGCATAACTGATTGCTTTGTTTTAAAGAACAGGGCTTGAAAAGTGATTATCCAATACTCTATCTAAGGCCTCTTGAAGTGAAAAAGTAAACAATTGTAGATCCTATCATGACTTTCGTTCGGTAAGAATGTAAACCATTATAATAAAGACATAACTAACACCACACCTTCACACAAAGCTATAGTTTATCCTGGTTATAGATACAGCTTCACCTTTACAAACTGCACACAAAAGGCCTTTAGATATGACCATGCTTCTTACACAGCAGGAATTTCTTATCGCTGTGGACCAAACAATTATTGTGAAATATGATAGCATGATATGTATCGAACAAGGGTTGATGTCTGACGACCAGAGAGGTTTCAATGCGATCGATTTTCTTTTTTTATTGATATATTTATTTTTAGTTTATTTTGTTGTTCTTTTTCGTTTTTCAAAAGGATCTCTTAGTTTAATTAACATCCCACTGGTAAAATTGTATGCATTAGAAAATTTGTGTAAATTAAGGATCGATTTCCGGTTTTTTATTTTGTTTTTTTTGTTTTACAAAATGAATTTTCAGTCAATTGTTTTAACATTGGTGAAATTAAATGCATTAAAAAATGAGTAAAAAGGGATTTCCGTATTTTAGTTTTTAGTTTTCAAAATTTATCTGTCAGTCCATTATTTACCAATAGATGAAATATGATGCATTAATACATGTGTAAATAAGGGATCAATTTCCGTTTTTGTTTGTTTTTAATGTCATAACTGTATCTTTCAGTGAATTATCTTCCTATAAGTGAAGTTTAATGCATTAAAACATGTGTAAATAAGGGAACAATGTTTCTAATATTTATCTTCTTTGTTTTACAAAATGGTCCTGTAGTAGTCACCTTCTTATATGTTACATTTAATGCTTAAAAATATATGAGTAAGTAAAATAGCAAGCATGATGGATGAATAAACATTTATATACATGTATCCTACTTGAATTTAATTTTCTTATACCCTTCTTTATTTCTTTCTAATATAAGAACATTACAAAGCCCAATTGTATGGAGTTTTTTTCAATATTTCGGTAAACGACTTGAAAACACCACCTCGAATGTAAAGTGAATAACATACAAAGTATAATACACAATCAGCTATTGTTACTACCTTAACAAAACAACCTTATAACTCGACAGGTACGCCTAAAAACGAACAGACGTGCACCAAGACCATATTGTATAGGCAACACCTGCATTTTTAAAGAATGACTGTCCAAATAGTTTATTTAAATGTTTGATAAAATTCTCATTAAATACATTTACATACGTAAACAACATTACCCTATGAATCTACAGATAGTACAATATATTTTACTTTTAATCATAGTAAAAAACGCTTAGTTTATTATAAATTTTCTTATATACTGTTTTACCTGCAGTTTAATGTTCAAACTTTTCTTTCTCTGCAATGAAGTTGAATAAAAATAAACAACATAATATGCATAATAATGAAATGTGAAGGCGAAATTAACACTGGGCGTGCATTGATTTCATGGTTGAAAAGCGAAAGTTTGACTGGGCGAAAACATCCCGGTATAAGGTATTCAATTGACGTAATCAAAGGAAAAAGTTTATGTATAATACAGAGTACACAAAACACAACATAAGATCAATCAACCCATCTAGATATATACATTTGTACATTATAAACTCGACTAAGAAGGTGTAGTCATAAAACCACATCATGTACATTTTGTCAAAAGTCAATGTGTCGTGTTTGCTCAATGGTAAATACAATTTCACTAAATAGTCTATGTAGGAAACTACCTTCCGTTGGCACTGTATTGAACTTCCTGCTAAATTTATCAAACAATTCAGTGAAGATGTAATTAGCTTGTTGGAAATTTAAAGTCCTTTGTCGTTTTATTGAAACTGTCAATATTTTTTTCAGTGTGTTACACGGTTATACATACATTAAATTGTGTATAACTAATAACCCCTGGAACGTCCTTTTAATATAATCGCAGTCTTTTACTTTATAATACGTGGTCTTATGTTAGAACATACGACACTTCGTTTATTAGAGAAATGTTGACAATTCAATTCGATTATAAAATCTGTCCTTGCACCAAGCTTTCCTTGTTTAACAATAATTAGGTTGTTTGGCTGAAGAAAAAAAAAGGATAGTTTATAATTTTCGGAAAGATATGCTTGAATAAATTTCAAATGAAATCGATTTCCTTCCAATGTCCTGAAGTATGCGTTTGTTTATTACTGTATGCCATGATAGGGCAAATTTACATTAGATTAGTCATGAGTGATGAAGCACTGATTTCAACCCCATATTTGCGAAAGAAAAAGAAAAATTCAAATCCGTTATGATTTGATATTTTCTGCCAAATATAAATCTTTATAAATAAATCAAACTTAAAAATGATTACTTTATCGACATGAAAAACTTGTGTGATTAGAATTTCAATATCTTTCAAATCATCACTTAATAAATTTAGAAATTATATTGAAACAGATACATTGTATACCATAGATATTAAAAATGTATGCTTTATTCGCATAATGTTAATTTATAATCAGAAACAAACATCATCTAATAGATTTATCAGGTAATCATTATGAAATGTACTTATAACTTGTTATGTGATATCCCATGACCTACTTTCCTCCCTTATCTTAAAGTACAAAGCATTTAACGTGACTTTTGTCAAATCATCTCAGTCGAATGCATTTTTTTCTAGCCAAATTATGTCATTTAAAACACAATATATCAAGTGACTTTCTTATTTTATTAGAACACACGTTAAATGGACCAGAAAACTCGTTTTCAATCATTGACTAATAAGAAATACAATCTGGATACTTTTAATCCTAATTATACGTATGCAATGCTACAATTTCCACTACCCTCACGTGTCAATGTACAAGACACACCGATTCACTTGAAGGTAACTAATAATCAAAGATGTACATTTACTGAGACACCGGTATTTGCTATGATTTTAATGGTACATTCTGTATAATAGAGAAAAAACACCGCCCCACATACTCAACATTCAAAGACATATATGATCTCGAAGTCGTGTCGAAAGGGTAATTCCGTCTTTGCGTATTGCATAGTTATCTTCTCTTGGGAGCAGGTATTGATTGTTACGTCACTTGTTTGTGACAGTAACGTCATCAATTTTTGAGAAAGCGACATAGTTTTCTCACACAAACCAATGACGTAACAATCAATACCTGATCCCAAGAGAAGATAACTCTGCAATACGCAAAGACGGAATAACAGGAACTGAACTGGGAAGCCATCAGAACAGAGACAAGTTGTAAGAACTCGTGCACAATCTGTTTGACTATTCAGTGTAAATAAAATGTGTTTTGAATGAATAAACATAGACAATGACGCCAAAGTTTCCATATCAAATCAAAGGTGACACCCTGAAACGCTAAGATAAATATCCTGTCATGTCGATGTCATTGTAATTTGATAAAGATGAGTGACTGGTTCCCGTCAACTGTAAATTATGTGTGATCACAAGTGAAAAGCATTGGTCAGAAGTCCGAATGTGTAAGCTTCGTACACAGCCTGATGTAGAAGGATGAATATTGTAATGATCAATATCTGTGAAAATGGTGGTGCCCTTCTGAAACACTATCCTGGATTAGGAGACAATAGCTCAGGTCCACATATGTTGAACATTATTTTCTGTATTTTACATGGCCTTGAAAATGTCGTGGCTAGTCGGAAATTAACACAGTATCAACACGATGTTTGTGTAGGATGTGCGATTCATTTATCATGAATAAATTGATTTTTTTTTTGCATGAATAAGTGAGTAAGAGAATAGCACAATCTTGTGTTAGTTTAATTAATGCTGTTTTCGCATAACATTAGAAAAATTGGAAGTAATTTCAAAATTGTAATTAAACATAGACACAATTGTTTGAAATTGGAGACATGGATTAAAATATATATGTCAAAGCAAATTCGGAAAATATCACAGCAGTATTGTTTCAAACACATCTCAACATATATAGAATCTTCAACATCGAATCTGTAACCCCAACAAAAACGACATGCATTGTAGATATATACGTATTCTGCAATACATCAGATACTTTTACTACACTTATTGATAACATATATCAAAATCCGAGGAAATCCGATGCGATTGAAATACTGTAAGAGGGACAATGTCGGTACTTTGAAATATGATAGATAAATATGTAACCTATATTTCTTGAAGAAAATAATCATTGCATAAGCTTTACCCGAAGCTTTTAATGTAAGTGTAAACGGTAAAGACTTTGAATATAAGTAGAGCCAGTAATACACTTTAACAAATTGGAACTGAAATACTATATGAGAAGGAATACTAATGGAAACACCAATACGAAAAGAGACAAAATGAATCCCTTTAAAAATGTGGAGACGAAAGTAAGTGATTATATTTGAAAACATAAATGATACCAGGTTATAAAATAAACGAACATGTAATATAGTAATCCTTTTTTAACATATTGATATTGTACAATAGCATCTGTTATATGTGACACCCGAAAGACTCCTTATTTGGAAACAAATTACAACCCACTCAATACACATTTTATGAAATAAAACAATGATAAAAGAAATATGTACTTACCAGCAAAGGACAGGTATCCAATAATCAAAATACAAATATACATCCCAGCTTTCACCGTGAAAAACATTTTTGAAAGTTATGGAAAAGTTAAGTTTGTAAAAAACTAAATAAAACAATATTCCCCACTAGGTACGGATAAGTCAAATATGTTTGTTCTGTGCTCGCATTCTGTTTGAAATAAGATCAGATCGGAAACCAGAGTACTCGTCTATTGCTAGAGCATATACTTTTACTATATTTGGAATTTTTCGTCACTTTTGAGTGGGAACAAGGGCTTGATTCTACGGCCTTAATACTTAACCCACAAGAAGGAAGCTATTGAATGTCTGTCATGCGCAGAACAATGCTGGTCATTGATGACGAACGCTGGCCTCGTGTGGGGTGCAACTAGGCTCGGTCGGAAGGTCCTGTATTATAGTTACCGGTCACGCTATATTTCTACGGCAACGAGTCATATTAAAAGCAAATGGGTTTTTTTTTTTTATCTTTTTGTAAAGTTATTATTTTTTCCCCGTTGAAGAAATCGTGACTTTGAACTCTCGTATAAAGAGGCAGGTAGCAATAGGTACAATGGCTGTTTCTATTAGGGAACAGCACGCTTGTGCTCGACTGTACGTATGAACAGCCACGAGGGGGTCACTCATGCAGACATTGATGTATATATATATACTACCACAGAACTCATTTGTTCAGATTCTTACTAGATTAACAGGTTATTAACACACCATTATTGTTCAAAATTCAACTGGTGTGTTGATGGATTTTGAAATTTCAAAAATTTCTTTAAACAAGCTTAAGTGATGTAGTGTCTGTTCAGCGTTTTTAATACATACTGCCGAAAATGATGTGAATCCAAAGGGCAATACAACATATTCGCGTTTCGCATGTATCAAATATAAACAAGTGAATGAAAAATCAAGTCAGTCGATAATAGGCGATATAGTTCAAGTTTATCATCTGGGCTTAAAGTAAGGACAATTAGATTTTAAACAAATGGAGTTATTGATTTTTTTGACCCACCAATCAATCAGAAACTGAGAGTCCGTTAGACTAGTAGATGTAAGTAGATCTACTACGAAATTAGCATTTTACATAAAGTATCCATTTTTTTAAATTTTGAATATCTGTACATTCTGAATGCTATCAATTGTAGTTTAAACCTTGTTATGAAATGTCATTTAATTTATAATGTATAGTGTACCACAATATATAGGAAAATAAATCTGACAACATACATTTTGTATGTACATGTAGAGTCTACATTACAAGAGGTGGGCAGGTCAATGTCTTCGAAATAAAGCTCAACTTCTATTACCGGCTGTAGGGCTGAGGGTCTACCTGGAGAAGGGAGCAGCTATGGACCTAAATCCAGTCTCATCTCAGACTGCCTCTGTCTATGTATTGCCTAGGACAAAACATTGATACATGTAAATGTATCCTTAATGTTCTATATTCGTGAATTAAGAAATTTTACGGAATAAAAACACACGAACCTGAGAAGCGTGTTATGGTATCGGAAAAGTCAGTAACTCGACGGAACCATGGAGAGGATTGAAAATTAGGTCAAAGTGTCAATTGCTATTTTCCTTAGTCTCTCCACATGTAGCATGTTTGTCTGAGACTTTCTTAAAAGGACCTCATAACTTGAATCAACATCCTGGTAAATGTTACAGAAATGCCACACTAAGGGGACTTTGGCTCCAACATAGTCATTTCTATCGAAGGCACGCCGCCATTCTTCTGTTATAAATAATAAAGCTGTTTGACAACTGTAATTTTAATTGATCAGGGAAGGATCTCCGAGGCTCTACAAGAGACCTATTGATCAGAGTAGTGGTTGGATTTAAAACTTCACCTTTAGTAAGGTGCAATATCATTGGTGAAATGTTGTCTACATCAGTCACCTTTCTGAGATTAATCATCTTCAAGTACCTTGCAACATCGGTTTCTTTAACTGGTCCGAAACAGATCATCTCTGTGGGATTTTGTGAATTTTGGTTTATTGCAATAATTCTTGGATGAGGTCTTCATATATCGGTTATCTGTGCCGCTGGCCTAATTTCCATATCTTTTATACTGGTTTTAACGAAAATTTTAACCACGCGCACTCCAATAATGTCATTATAATCAACGTGATGATTGTGGACATTACTTGGCAGAAGCAGACTGTATCCGGAATACTGATATCTCCGTTTTTAGTTTAGTTTTATACAACCCGAAATTTTTTCCTCCTTTCCGGTTTCAATTTTAAGGTTACAAAGTCTTATTGATATCCGGTTTGCATGGTTGAAGATGTATTTGCTAAGTGTAGTCTGGAATATTGCTACTTTAGCAATAATTCTGGGTTATTTGACCGTCGAATATAGTTCCTACTTCCCAACGTTCATCCATGATCTGTATTTATTTGGGAAAGTCCGTAAATTAGATGGTTTCAAGTTACCTGATAGCATTGTGCAGGTGCCCAAAAGGTTTGTTGATGATTAATGATCGGCTGTTGGTAGAGACGTCTCCCCCACAGATGCTCGGGTTCTGGAATATATGTGATATATAATCGCACCGAGTAGATATCGCACCCCCTTATACTAATAAATCATAGTATAAGGGGGTGCGATTATATATCACATATATTCCAGAACCTGTGACCTCCCCCTCCTTATATCCCCAAGAGCTATTAACAGTTACCTACTCTCAAATCAAAAAGCCATATACTGATTATGTATGTGTTAAAATGTATTGTTTATCAGCTGTTGATGAGAAGGCCAGTGGTTTATCAGGCTTATATTAGCTTATGAAACTTATGTCCGCCCACACATTGAATACTGTAGCCCCATCTGGGATCCATGGCAGGCAAATCTTACCAATGAGGTTGAAATGGTGCAGAGAAGAGCCGCCAGGTACACTCTTGGGCGCTATAACTACACCAGTAACTTTACAGAAATGCTCCAAACCCTGAAGTGGCAATCCCTTGGACAACGCCATAAAATCACCTCCACCATATTACTATATAAAATAATAAACGTCCTTGTGGCATATGATGGCAACCTCCAAATTCTCCAGCGAACTGACAACACAAATTCCAGATTCCACACAGGTCCACAAATTATCATGCAAATTCATTCTTTCCTAGAGGAATTCGTACCTGGAACACCCTCCCAACCTTCATCGCCGACAGTGCTGACCTCTCCACACTGATTGCAACTCTCCACTCTCACAAATTCTAAGCGTATACGTGTTGTTTTTATCGTATAGTTCTTAAAAAAAATAAAAAATAAATGTTTTTAACCTATCTTTCTGACGCCTCTAACTAATGTTCAGAATATTGAACGTTTTAGAGTATCTTGTTGAAGTTGGAGATTATCAGGTCGGGGAAAACCACTATTGCGTATAATATGCAAACTCGCCTATTATACGCCAATAGGGGTATGGATTTGTTACTAAAAATAGCAAAACTTTTTAAAATTGTTTGTCTAAGTCACATTTATTCAGTCATGAAACATGATACAAATGCAAAAAAAAAAAATTATTTGCATGTGGGAAAAGTACCAAAAATAGATGCAATACTCCGGTAAAGTTACATCAAGTTTCTAAGTAGACAAGTTAACGCTTTCAGTAAACATATTTTAGCAAAATATTATTTACCTTGTCGTAAATTAATGCAATTTTAATAATATCTTGCAAAAGTTACTGTTAAAGCGATTTGGGTTATTTTTCGTAACAAATCCATACTCCAACTGGCATATAATAGGTGAGTGTGTGTATTGTACGCAAGTTGGTGGTTTTCCTCAACCTGATTATCGATACTACTTTTTAGATCAGTTTTAGGGACCAATACCCAGTTATGAAAGTGTGATTTTTCAAAACGTTCTTGTTTATAAATCATTATTGGGAGAATATAAAAAAAAAAAAAAAATCTATTCCTCACAATTGACTTAATTCTTAAAATACATCTGTAAATGTAAAAGATGTGCATTGATTTGGCTGCCTTTCAAGCGTCAGCTGTGGGGAATTTCCCTTTAGTTCAGCGGTAGAGCATTGGGCTGGGCGGCAAGAAGGTTTACCCCAAAACACCCAAAAATATTTTTTGTCTCAGTTTCCACGTGGCGAAACCATACTTCATGGTTATCTAGACATGAAATTGCATTATTTATATTGTACTTAACTTTTTATATGTCTTCCAAGATAGTATTGATAATTATTTTTACAATGAAGTAAACTTTTTATCTAATGAACATTCTTGGTAATTTTAATCTTAATTGTTTTTGGGCGTGTTTTGGGGTGAATCGTTGTGCCCCTTACTTAACACTTAATGATAATTAATGATATTTTCCAACACAGGTTCCATTTTAAGGATCCTCTTTGAATTCGCTAAACTCATAAACGTTAATATTATTATTACAATAGATTTCACTTCCGGTTGTCACACGTATTGTCCCTTTGTAGTAGTTGTACTTTACTTCCTGTCCGTTCGTGTAAACATCAAGTTGGTTTTTGAAGCTATTAAGTGTGTTTGTAGCTACTTCGTAATCAGGAAAACTGTTCCATACTGCTGTTGTTCTTATGGAGAAGGCATTTTTCCGTAGCGATGTCCTTGCACATCTAGGGAATATTCTCATGGAGTTTGTCCTTGTGCTTGGTCTTTCTGATATGTCGGACCACATACTTATAAACTTTGTTGCCCCCTCACCGCATTTTCCTCTCACTTTTTCCAAAAATAGTTCCTTTAGTCTTCAATTTTTTCTCAATTTCTTCTCTGGGTCCATTTTCCAAAAAACCACTTGATAAATCCCAGAATGACTTTGTTTTCTCCTAATAGTAATTATCATAACCCAGCATTCAATTAGCCATACTAGGACAACTGCTTATGTTTTATGCATCACTATATGCATGTCTTCCTGGATCCAGATTTTAAATTTCATTATGTGTATTACATTTTCAATAGTCAGAAAGACCAGATGTGTTGCAATCATTAATGAATTAGGTTTGAAGCATAAACTTAAAATTCCATGTATGAAGATCAAGAAGGCCTAAAAATCCTGAAGTTAAAGAATGCTAGCAAAGTCTGAGATTCATACTTAATCACAATAGGCACATAAATATGGTTGATCTGTCTACTTTGTAACATAAATCAATCATCACAGAAACAGGTCCAGCATGAGAATAATATATAAATCTAATTCATTTTTTCAACAATTATAAAACATGTTATTGCAACTTATATTAATCATTAGTACTCTTGTTGGCCCAGATGGAAGCCATAGAGGGTCTTAAATTCTTAATGTAGAAATCAGAATACCCGGATAAAACCCACAGATAACCCAAACTTTTTTCACAGCTAATCAGGAAATGGAACCTCGACCATCTAAGTGAAAAGCAAATGTGCTATCCACCCCACCAAGCGTGAGACATGCTACAAGACCACTGACATGTAGCGAGAAAGCTTGATAGATCAGCATATAGTAACTCGCAACTCACGAGTGTACAAGATTGTAAATAAATAGCTGTATACAGATCGGATACCATTAAGTTGCTAATTCACTCACTCGTATGCTCTTTCCTTCCAAACGATCCTGTAGAACATTGTCAGAGGAGAAAGAAAAGACCAATGAAATGTTCCCTGCTGACTTGGTCACAAGTTATACTGCTTCCATCTTTAAATCAGCAACTAATTGTCTCCTTAATTTAGCCCTGCATCTGCAAAATCGTCATTTTGTTGAAAAAGTCAAGAATTTGGTAGAAAGGAATACCGGGTATGATGACGTCTGTATAGTTGCACATTTAATCTTTCAACCAGCTTTTATGTTTGTTTAATGGTGTATTGAGTTAAAAAGATAAGAAGCAAGCTCAAATGTACCTCTAGTGGTGTGTGTTTCATTGAACTAATAATTTAATATAGATTTATTATATTGACTCAGTTTAGCTTCATGAACTTATCAATATAATGCAAAAACTTAATTGCTTCCTGGTAACAAAAGATGCATATAATTGTACAATATTAAATTGTATTAAATATATTTACCTGATAAGTCCTGTATAACTCTTTAAATGATAGATTGTGGAAAAAAAAGAGGAATATAAAGACCTACCTTTGTAAGTCTACCTTTTAGGCTATTTTTGTGTAGACGTCATCTACACAATATATATGCATATGGAGATAAATATCTTGTAACCTTATATATAATGCTGATTTGATTTGTAGGCCTTTCTTTAATCAACTATATAAATTTATAACTGTCATTGTATTTTACAGGGTAAAGTCATAAATTTTAAAACAAAATAATACAGGATTTACATGGAAATGTTCATTTACAGGCAACATTTCCTGGCTTAATTTGAGGATAAATACAGCATACATATATATATTATGTCATAAATTAGGAATTCCCCTGATGAACCTCTGAAGAGGAGAAAACGCTAGGGAAGTCGAAGAAAGTATGTTTTCTTACCCTGTACAGGGACCGCGGAACCAAATGATTTTCCATAGACGATAGTGTTAATGTTTACCCCTGTCCTGGTTAAATGGGGTTATCCACACTGGTTTACCTGACCTCATTTTGAAGAATAGCATCTCGCACAACTGTAAAAAAAATATTTCAAAATTCTGCCAATTTGAACTTTTTTTATATGGGGGCTGCCATCTTGTATTGAATTCGGCACTAAAAATCGCACAAAATTTACAGCAAATTACACACTTAATAAACTCACCCAGACAAAACCAGACTTGAATTTTTTTTATTTATTTTTTTATATATATTACATCTATATGTATTGCTCAACCCACACATAAAACTTTTGAAACTTCTACCACCTTAATATCCAACCAGCAGGCCCCTAGGCATTCACCTTTCTATTAAATCTTCTGCCCAAAAGGGAAAAACCCACAATCTATTTTTGATTTGGTTCCGTGGTCCCTACAGGTGTTTCCTAGCTTTTACCGGTGTGAGATTTCCTTGTCTCACTCTAGGGTTGAGACAACTCTCAAATAGGGGAATAGCTAGCCATTCCCTTATTCATAGCAATGGTATGACGTCGCTTCAACAATACAATGACGTCACGTCAACCCTAAATTTAGCATGTAATGTTATCATTACATTGTGAATATGATACAAAATGGGAGAACAGGGTAAGAGAAAAAAAATAATTCACCGCCTTGTGGGTGATAAAGGGGAATCTCAACCCGAGGGGAAAGATTCTTAAGTTGCCAAACACTCAGGAAAGCCTTGTGTTTGGCAACTTAAGAATCTCCCCCCTCGGGTTGAGATTCCCCTGTCTCACCCCGAGGGGGTGAAAGATTCCAATTGTCTTTATTTTTATATATATATAACTGTCAGTAAAGTTAAGTTTTGTCTTCCATTGTAGCTGGTTCCGCCATTTCTATCTGACGGGCGTAGTGGTAAACTCTGCTGTATTAGCTGTCACCCTCTACACATTTTGTGGATCTGGAGTATGGCCGGAATGCTTCAAAGAATTTTTAACGTTCATTGGAAACCCTGGCAAGGAGTCGGAAGGTCAGCTGCTTAACATACATCCTCGATACTCCAGGAGTTATGCTCACTTACACTCTCTGCACCCCTGGAAAATGTCATGACAAAATCAAAGGCTCAGTGTGCACCCCCATGTGGATGAGTAGAAAAGACTTTGATGTTTTGATGTTTATCAAAAGATTTTATCGGTCTCATAACAGTAAAATTGATGGACTTTGGATTGGGTGTCGCTCCTCTGTAATCTTCAAAGGGCAGGTTTCAGCCTTGTGGTTAGTCAGTTGTTTTTTACCTGAGACCAATCAAATGACATATTCCAGGGGTGCAGCGATAGAGCGAAAGTGAGTGTAACAGTATCGAGGATGCTGAACATAAATGGCTGAACATGTACAGAGAAATGCTGCTGACAGAAATGTCTGCATCCACACATTTTCCTTTGATTATATATTTTTCTGTTTTATGAGGCATCTATAAACATACAACACAGTTTATATGTATTCAATGGTTTAAAAGTGCTTGAAATTCCTTCTTCAACATAAAATTCTGCTTAGTAAATAGCAATTGAAATAAGTTATTTCAGCTGAAAATGAATTATTTATATGAAAATTTATTATGTGATAATGTACATTTACCAAGAAAAGTGATCACAAGAAACAATTAAGTACTCATGGTGAGCAAAGGTGATTATAAAGCTCTAGCTATTCCGCCTTTGCGTATTGCAGAGTTATCTTCTCTTGGGAGCAGGTATTGATTGTTACGTCACTTGTTTGTGAGTGTAACGTCATCGATGTTTGAGAAAACGACGTAATTTTCTCACACAAACCAATGACGTAACAATCAATACCTGGTCCGAAGAGAAGATAACTCTGCAATAGGCAAAGACGGAATAGGTGATATGAGAAAGCCCCAGCTCACCAACAGTTGCTAGATTATTTATAGTAATAATTGTACATGTATACACCGTAGCACATATAAGGATTGAATGGCATTTTCTTCAATTTCATGTTGGCACAATGTATGAATGAAAATCAGCTACATCCATATCTCAGCCTCATAGCATATATGTATGTTACAGACTTGGGTTTATACCAGTAATTGAAAAAATGCTGTTCAATCTGTGTACTTTTTATTCTCATTTTTGAGTTATTATTGACCTTAATACAGATATTCCTTTATACTTTCGATATTGAAGTGTCTATATGTCATCAGTGCAAATGAGATTCCTGGAGCAGACTAAAAAAACAAAATGTTTGCTTCTAACAGTTGTGTCATGTTAATCGAGGCGAGAGGAGAAGCTTCAAAATGACGCTGATCAAATTGCATTCATAGAGCTATGAACGCAATTTCTTCTAGTAATGCTTATAGAGGTGGAAATATAAATATACATATATATACAGAAACGATGATAATTGATTTGTCAGTTTGTGTTACCACATATACATGTACACATTAATAGTGTTTAATTTCCAGACACAGATCTGACTGCTCCGCTTCCAATCGTGCTGGCTATTGTGATGGAAGAGATTCAAGTGGTCCGTAGAACTATAGAAACCCTGTGCATCAACAGTTACTCAACTAGTAAAATGAGTCTGGTCATCTACGTCGTTGGAATGTTGTTTTACTCCAGCATCGGTATATCTATTCTGTCGCTCTCCAAGGCAGGAACAGTTTCCTTCGGTAAGTTTATAATTATCTAACCTCACACTGTCTAAGGATGGGACAGTTTCTACAGGTTAATATTATAAGGTCAAGAAATGAAAATGTGTAATTCAGGTAACATTGACTATGAAAAAACAAAGGGTAGGTCAGTAGTGATTTATTTTTCATTCGCTTTAGGCCTTTTAAATAATAATATGGGCTTTAAATTTGGTTTTGATACCTACCTATAAAAAAGAGAGGTGTCGTAAAGATGCTTATGATTTTTTGGCGGGTTTGAAAGGGACATCAAGTGCATTCAAGATAAAACCGTCAGGGTTTGAGGTAAAAACTAGGATCAGTTCGTATTTTTATTTACTTTTTTATTGTGAAATTTTGTATTTTTTCCTTACAGATGATTTCAATTCCCTGTCATGGCTGCAATGGTATGCTGTGGCCCTGTTTCTGTATGCCAGTTACAAACAGTACCATGTTAATAGGATAATGGCCAAGTTACGACAGGACAAAAATGGTAAGATTGATACCTCTTACATTATTGTACGTCAAAAATCAAGTCAGAAATCGCTGTCTCATTATGAATTGAAACATAGGAGATTTGGGCAAAAGTTTACACTCAGAAACAAAGAATATCACACAAGTATTACAAGTTTCCCTACCTGATTGAGTCTGTCATGCCCTATTTAATCTTTCTAAAGAAAATTTTGAACATAAACAACCTAACACTATTTTGTAAAATGAGAAAGTTAACAGTGAATACTTTTTGCCAAATTTCACTTGTTTTATAAACTCTCATTTTTGCAAGCTATATCACATTTTACTACCCTAGTCAATGCATGCCAGCAGAACTCCGGCACTTTAATTATAACTTGCTTGGAATGAAGTTGGGGATGTACACTTTTGCACATCAACTTTGATGGATTAAGTTAATTCAGATGATGCTGGTTTGCAGTTACATTTATATTATTTTAAGGAAATTAACATACAGGTACAATCAATATTAGAAAAAAAGTCACCAATGTGTAAAAAATAGGGAAGCAGTTCAGTCCAAGGGAGATAATTTGGTTTTGAGGTAAATGGATGACGTTCATCAATTTAATTTTTATGTTTTCCACTGGTAAGTTACAACAACTGTGAAGTTTACAAATCAAATGAATCATATCTCAATATGTATACTGTAAACTGGGAAAGGTTTGCTGTAGTTCAATTTTTCATCTTTACCATCATTATCAGGGTGAACTTATCATTACAGTGAAAATGTATATACAACATAATATACATAGTAATTAAATATGAAGGGCGAATTTAATATTGGAGAAAATGGATTTTACTGTCAATGGGCAAAAGATTTACGGTTTAAAGTAGTAACAAATCTTCTAAAAGTACCATGTGATAAGTATGTAGATAATTATGTTTAAACAGACATATGTTTATTAGCTCTACACTAGCTTTCTTTTAAGCTGATGCTTTTTCAAGGTTGTCAAAAGAATTAAATCACATATGGCCGAATTATAAAAAAAAAAAATGGATGTTTGATTGATTGGAGTCAAGGAAAGAAACATCAGAATTGATTTTCAGCCACCATCTTGGACTTGTTTCTATGTATAAAAGGTAATATTTCACAATGATTTTCAGGTAATGTGACCAACACCAAGCACCACATTCCACATGGCGACCTGTTTGAGTATGTGTCCTGTCCTCATTTTCTGATGGAGATAATCATCTACTTCGCCATCACCACAGTGGTTGGCTGGGAACACGAGGTCTGTATGTGTCTTTGGCTGTTTGTACTTACGAACCAGCTGATTGAGGGATATCTTGTGCACAGATGGTACAAGGAAGTGTTTCCCAACTATCCACCGGAGCGCAAAGCTGTTGTGCCATATCTTCTCTAGCTGGCAACATACCACAACAAGAAGGCAAAAAGACCATCAAACATACCCACCTCAATTTTTGATACACAAACATACTTTTTTCGTAGGTTGTCATTTTTGTCTCCCCGCCACGAGGTGGAAGCTAGAGTAAGGTGGTGCTTTTCCGGAGATTGTGGCGACGGCGTCAACATTAAGTGTTTGTATCTAAGTTAGTTTCACTAAAAGTATAGGTGCTAGACCATCCAAACTTGGACCATAGATGCATCTTAGGTAGTACATCTCAACCCATGCATCACATGCTGGATGCAGCCTACCTTTCATGGTCCATTGACTTTGTCAGCATCTCCTTTATCATTACGTTTTTGCTTTTAAGTTAGTTTCTCTGATATGTGCATTGATGGTCAAAGCAGGGCATAGGCAAGACATATCAATCCGAATGGTTTGTTTTACATATCGTTTAACTAATATCATTTGTACGGGTGTTAAGAGACCACCAACAGTAACTGACCCAATCTAATTAAAATTATATCTTCACATCGCTCCCGTTTACTGATATGTCGCGTTGAAGATCTAACAACATCCCGTAGAGGGTCATGTTCAGGCGACCTTTGCATTAACCAATCAGATGAGAGCTTACGCATTTCTGTAAGTGATGATGTAATGATTTCGGAACACACTTGCTATGATAAAAGACCGATAGGTGTCAAATGAGCATCGAAAATGGCGGCGCCCATGACACCACGCCGTGTCTATCTACAAGACAACGTTTGTACAATTTGTGGATTTTGCTTTGAAATAAGAGAGACTTCCTCTTCTGGTGATGTTGTCGTTAAAAAGTTTAACAACCTGAAACTAAAATTAACCAATGACAGGCTTCGCAATATTCAAACTATCACTGGACCAGACGAAAAAGTGGATTTTGGGCTACGAGGTGTCTGCATTAAATGCTACAGGTCCTGCTTTCTGATTGGTTGAATGAAAGAGTTATGTCGCGTTTTGATTGGCTTGTTATAAATGCGATAATGCATTCATGTTGACCTCTGACGTGACCCTCTATGGGATGTTGTTAGATCTTCAACGCGACATATCAGTAAACGGGAGCGATGTGAAGATATAATTTTAATTAGATTGTAACTGACCACATTTTGCTTTCACATGGGTGATTTGTAAATTACAGGTTTGACTGTGATTATCACACATGTACTATTTATTACTCAACTGACACTTAAAATAAGGTTAATATTTATTGTATACCAGGAAATGTTTGCCGCTGTTTAGCTTTCACGTGTTTCGCCCTCCCCAATGAGGGCGAGTATATCATGACAGCAAATTTTAGTACACAACAGGCAATGTATAGTAATAACATGTGGAAGGTGAAATTAACACTGGGTGGACATGTATTTTACTGGGAAGGGGTGAATATTTGACTGGGTGAATTTCCTGGTATACAGTACCATAGAGTATTGTCAGTTATAAAGTTTAAATTTTGAAGAACAAATCTACTTTTTATACGTAATCTATAAAGATGTTTTTTTCTTTCAAATTAAACAAAATTGATATCAAAATGCTTTTAATAAATTGAATAAAGCTTTCTAGCTTTTATATAAGCAGACATATTGTGAAGATACTTAGTATTAATATTTCTTACTACTGTAGAAGAAAAGCTACTCTTGTAATAATTTTCTTCATAAGAGACCACATAGATATTGATAATTGACATAGAATTTCACTTGTTTATGCTGTAATTTTAATATTATTCATAAATTGTATAATGTATGTACAATAATCATACAAGCATTTAAGAAGATTTAATGGATGATCCTGGCAGTCTGTGGCTTTTTAAAATATGTTTAATTTCAAAATTACTTAAAATGCAGTTTGCTAAATGGAAGTTTTAACAATTTCTTGAGTTACCAGAGGTATATCAAAATACATTGAGCAAGTGGAAAATTTTGACTGTTGGTTGGATGTTGATGTATACATATTTAAATGAAGAACAAATGTATAATGGTTTTTAATTAAGAATGGAAACAGAATTCAAAAAACAATTCTGAACATATTTTGAGAAAAAAGTGTATCATGCTATAAAGATTATTATTTGTATTTTATACTTTTATTTTTAATTAGATAGTTAGAAATAAGATGAATAACTTGCTTAATAGGAGTTAGATATTTCAAAAGTCCCACTTTTTAGAGTATGTTAAATACCATAGTATAAAAAGCTTATTTACTGCTGAGTTAGGGGTAAGATTCAAAAACAAAATACATTAAGAGAAACAGTTTACTCAAAATATTGTTGTTTACACAATTATGTATACGAGATCTAAATTGAAACCATTACATTCCATAAATGTTTTAAGCTTCTGTAGTTAAGTATAGCTGTTATATATTTTTGCAGTTTTTATGCTGACTTAAACTTGCTTATTTTTGTGCAGTGATGAATTGAAATATATTTTTCAAATAAATAACTAATTATGTTTCTATGCTTGGTCATGATACAAGTATATGTTTGATATGTACCAATTTTCAAATGAAGGAAATGGGCCAGCTTTGGTATATTCTGAGGTTTAGCTGCCAAAAAAATATGACTTTCGAAATATAATGACTGTTTGGAAAATACATAAAAATCAAAACTATTAACAGTCTATAAGATTGAGATACTGTTGAACAAGCCATTGTCTGATCCTTTATAAACTTTAAGGAGGAAAAAAGGGAGCAAAACTTCCAGGAAAAATGTCAAAACTTTTCTTGAAATGGTATTTCTGAAAAAAAGAGATATATGGGGTTTCAGGAAAAACCTGACTTTTCCCCATTTTTTAAATGCAATTTTTTAAGCAGGGTATAGCCATATAGCCACACCCTTGCCATTATTTAGCAGATCTCTGTGAAAATGTATACAGTGTTGACCCTTTCCTATATATATTATGTCATTCTGCATATAAAAGAATATCAGTATATATACATTCTGTATCAAATAGTAAATAGCCATGATAGAGAGTTACAGTAGTATTATTGATACATGCTTTATTTTATTCAGAGATCTATTATACAAGTGTTTTGATTAAATATTGAATTAGTTGAATGCACAATGACTATCATACATATTGTGATAAGCGGATGTGTTTTTTTGAAGGCAACATCTTATGCTGTTTGGTACTTAATTGGTAAATGTCAAATAGATTGAAGAAACTGTTTAAAAATGTAAATCTTATAATGATAAAATGTTCATTAATTATATTCCATATATATTTTATTGTTAAGAGTGCCTTAAACTTGTTAAGTTGTAAAATATTGAACAATTAAATATTGGGTATAACCCAACTTTTATTGAAGTGTAATATTAGAAGGAAAAGTCTTATTATTGTTTAAGGAAAGTTCTGCATATGAGATTTATTCTAGATTTACCTAATCATAACTACCTACAAATTACTCAAGATGGATACATTCCTTGTACACGTAGGAATATTGCTGACCCAATCACCAAACTTTCATTTAGATTTGATATTTAAGTAATATAAGAAGAAAAAAAGTTAACATAACTTGAGAAAAGTTCTGCATATGAGATTTATTGTAGATCTACCTACAAATTACTCAATATGTATACATTCCTTACATGTACACATAGGAATATTGCTGACCCAATCACCAAACTTTCATTTAGATTTGATATTGAAGTAATATGATTTTTTTTTTAACATAACTGCGTAATGATGAAGGATCAACATCTCTAATACTAGCTATTTAGTTCTCTTATACTAGCTATTTAGTTAGCCACAAAAGTGATCTTTTTCATAATCAGAACTGTATTGACTCTTATACCGGTATGTGCATAAGTGTATGACAAAAATCTTCGATGAGGTTCTTGGATCAGAAAAAAAGAGCCATTTCAAGGGTTCATTTGTGAAAAAGTCTCAAGAAATGGTTATATAAGTTTCTCTTAAGTTCATTCTGTCAACATTGCTTAACGATTTTATGTCATTGAGAGATGCATATTTTTACAAAAGTTTAGATACGGTTATTACTTACAAGTGTTACATATACCCTCACCAACTTTGAATACCAGTACAGTATAATATGTCAACATTATACTTAGAATGCTGTTTGGATTTTCTTATATTTCAGGCTTATAGACAAGTGCTAAACATTTTTAAACTTCAAGTTGTTTTTGTTTTATTTGCTTTTAACTCTCCTTATATACACAAAAGAAGCTGAGATGTTTGAAAATTGTATAAACAGTTCCGCAATATTATACTTTATATCATATTTCAACAAACATATCTAGATATTATCTACATATCATTTTCATCAAGTTTTCTTTCATATTTATTCCATTTCTCATAGGCAGAGACAAATGTACTGTATATTGAATCTACATATAATTCTTTTTCACTCAGTGGTCATTACTACATGTATGTACATGTAGCAATGTTGTTTGCAAAAGTATAAATGCTAACCTCCCCCACTACAACCGAGAATATAATGTGACTTTCGCTCAGATTTCGCATTCCAAAAACAATAATTTGATATAGTTGTTCTTTACAAAGTAATATTTTGACTGAATTTGATATCTTCATCAAATATATCCATGATCCAACAAACATACACAATCAAAACTCTAGTAAGTTTGTGTACTTAATGAACATGAAGTCTACATAACGTCTCTTTGTTAATTTTTGATAAAATTTTAAACTTTGAAACGATAAAACCTTTAAATTGCAATGATAATAAACCCTTAAAATCAAATAATTACAGTATGAAATAGTTATATGGTGCTGATCCAATTGTTTAACATTTGAAATTATTATATGAATTTTTTACAATTTTTTCCATTTAAAGAATGTTTTTTAAAGAACTTTTTGGTGCCGATCAAGGTGTATTTTACATTATTATATGAAATTTAAGGATCCTTGTGCCACTGCACCTTGGATTTTCCTATTAACAGTAACCCCCCTTAACTTCTGTTTAGATATGACTTTAGCACAATTGAGAGTTGCCAAGGCACTTCTGCTGACCAGGTAGCTCACTCGGTTAGAGAGGTACATGTAGTATAACAGTCTGAAGACTAGGGTTTGAATCCTGGTCTAACCTGTTTTATTTTTACACTCGGAACACTGTTGTTGATTCTTTTCTTTTTTTATAATTTTTGTTTGTTGAAACATTTTCAGCATTACAGAATAATTACAGTATTAATTTTCACACTCATTTTAATTTTGTAATGGTTTTTTGAGTGAGAGAGAGAAGATTACCAAAAATATCCTGTAAGGTTTTCTTTTCAGAAATGATTTATCAGAGCTATAGTCATACCAGAAAAAAAACATTTTCCAACATTTAGTTACAGTTTTTGGCAGTGGTACAAGAATTATTAAGTCTTATATTTAAGGAATGATTTTCATTTTTTCAACATTTATGAGGTCATAACAACAATGGGTTCATGGACATATTGAATGAATCGCGTTAGCGATTCATGTAAAATATGTCCAAAAACCCATTGTTGTTATGACCTCATAAATGTTGAAAAAATAAATATCATTCCTTATATTTACAT